ATATATATATGTATATATATATATATATAGGCCCTATATATATGCCTATATATAGGCATATATATATAGGCCTATAATTGTTACTTCTATTCTAAAATATCAAATATCAAGTTTAAACTTGAAGTAGCCTTTTCATTATTTTTGACGTGTTATCGCAATCACATAGGCCAACATAAACAAATTTCTAAGCAAGAGCTTTATGTAACCAAACATATCGATCTATTATTGCTTAATCAACCAAATGACATAAAAATCCAGATTCATAGTTAAATAGAACACTAAACGGCACTCTGTGGATTTTCTAGCTTATTTTCTCCCCGTATTCAGCTGAAATGCGTTTAGGTCTAATTTGTTGCAAATATCGACGCAAAAAACTAATATTTCAGTGCTATTGAAACTCGCATGACTGGTTAAGCAGAATTGTTATCCTGATAAGCGGAATGTATGTTATAAATTAATCGATGGATGTATTAAACAATCAATTAATTAATTATTTAATCAATTAAACACAAGTAAGTCAATCAGTCAATTAATCAATGAGTTAATCAATCTATCATAATTAACCAATCAATTATTCATGAAATGTATATTGCCCTGCAGGAATAAGTAAAATGTATAAAGGCGATCGAACCAGATTTTGGATATAAAATATCTAATGTATGTTGAAAAGCATAAGAAATTCAGTATATATCTATTCAAAAGCTTATAATTGTAGTGTTTCAGTGATACACTCGACCTACCGTTTATTATATAATGCATATACAAATTACCTGTCAGTGGCGAATACAGGAATTTGAAATAAATGGGGGCCCAGTGAGGGATTTTGACAGACAGACGGGTCAATATACCACCTCATTCCCACCATGATTGTGGTCAAGGTAAGACAAATTATGATTATGGCCTCTCAAGATGATCAGAAATTGCACTCCCAGAATTTGAATACAATTTTCTTTTTTTTTTTCTTATTTTGTTTTATTTTGAAAAAAAGAGGGAGTTGGGAGGGACAGACCGTCTGCTCCCCACCCCTCCCCAAATCCGCCACTGCCTGTAGTTAACCTCCAAGTGACACTTAAAAATGAATTGAAAATCTAATAAATCATTCTTTAGTTAGCATAGAACAGAAAAATAAGGGGCAACTCATTACAAAAATATTTTAGGCCTACAGAGTATCCGAAGTGGAGATTTATGAAAAAATTATGTAAAACTAGCAATGATACACACTAAGTGGCTGAATGAGACGTTTTATCTACTGTGTGCATTTCTCACGGATTCTTAATTGATATAACAATTTGTCAATCATCGGCCTAGATTCAATCACCGCTCGCAATCAATCAATCATACAAAGACAGTTTAAATAAGTCAATCAAATCCGCTAACCTGGTTTGCTAATGTCATAACGTGTGCAATTACTGGTAATTCGAGTAATTCGGTCTACTCTGCAAAACACAGATACATTTTATTCTAGTTCTTATCTGTAAATGTATGTATTTGTTTTTTACATCAATTCAATTATGAAAGTCGAAATTAAGAGAATAAACGTTGCGTTTGCTTCCCAAAAAAAAATTAACATTGCGAGTTTGAACCAGAATGTCATAATCAGACGTACAAGAAATGATGAGGAATACTCGCATCGCACGCGTCGAACATGTTACACAGACAGGTAATGGATTATAGAACAATACTATAGCTCCACAACTTCGTCAAATTCTCCCGAATCTGAGAAAACAGCCTCAAAATACCACTAAAAAAGCTTATTTAAATAGGCCTACTTTTTGGTAGCAAAATTTTAAGTATGCTGTATCAATTTCTCCTTTGTGCGATATCGGAATCAGGAGATCACAATACATGCATGAAAAAAAAACAACTTAAATTTTCAATATTTCAGGGATAGGGCACACTTCACCAGGGCACGTCGTCTCCCAGATTTTGAGTTCCAGTGGTTAAGACAACAACAGTAGGTCAATGTATTGAAAACAGTGAGAAGACGCGATACAATCACTGGAGGCTGATTGCAAACAAAATGATTTTGAAATATAATGCTTTGTGAATGTTGAAGTGTGTACTTTAGGCCACTTTATATGAGGCCTACAATTACCATATTTATTCATGGTCATAATTTATATATTCCTACATGCTGTAATTGTACATATAAATTGTCTTAAAAATAATACGTAGGCAAATGTAGGTCTATTCCTAACACTGCTATTTCAATGAGTTATTTTAACTCGAAAAAAAAATATTCTGTACGTAAAAAAGTTAAAATGACTCCTTAAAAATATCCTTGAATGCATAGTGTGAAATTACACTTTCAATTTTACTTTTATATAATCTCTAATAAATCTCCATGATAATGTGTGCGCTGAACAATATTATCGTCGAATCATAAGTAGCTATATCATGAGGGTACAAGGATTTTATAATTTGTAAGGCGAATCAGCAGGAGAATTAAAGACAGTATTCTGTACGTATCATATTAACAACGACGGGAATATAAATTTGCAAAACACTTTTTCATACCTTGACACAATATGCAAATGAGCATGAAGGAACGCGTCACATGTGATTATCTCTTTCTAAATGATCTGAAACTATACTTCTTAATTTCCTCGTCCATACCGATTGCATTCAAACAATTCTTGGTGATATATCTCACATTTTTTTATTTCGAAATATCACAAAGACGTTATCAATTCCCACATCAAAAAATACATATATATATATAAC